TATTGCTTAGAATCTGGTGAAACGAAAACGAGATGTAAATGAGGATGTAGAGAAAGAAAATTATAATCCAAACAAACGCACATGATCCATAATTTCTCTCATCTGTCTCGTTTATGGAAATGTAATTCCAAATTCTTTCGAAGTTGATATTAACAAGAACAAGTCTATTAGTAAGCTTAAAGACGCTATCAAGGAAAAGAATACACAAACCTTCTCTAACGTTGATGCCAAAGACATTAAGCTATGGAAGGTACAAATTCCCGATGATAATGACATACAATTGAGAAATATTTCGAGGACGAACTCCTTGTAACAAAAAGGTTTCAAAATATTTTCCTTCCCACCTCTCGAAGAATATGTCCATATCATCATAAAGTTGCCTCGTAAGTTTGATATTTTATGTAAATTTTTGATACCCAAATAATCTTTACTTAATATATTTTTGTTTCTAGTACTAAGTCAGGAAGAAGCGTTGTCGTGTGTTCCGCTACCCATTACTTACTCTCCAGATTGTACTAAGTCAAAGGGTACCACAAGGGTCAATAGTAACCCATCGTCAAGGGTTCTTCTTTCGAAAAGTAAATAGCTTCCGAATGTGAAAAAACAATGGAAATCCAACCATTGAAAAACTGTCATCATGCACATTGTTGCGGTCAAGGCAATGGGGCCTTTCTATTGGTAACAAAAATTATCCACTTTTTTTCCTCTAAAAATATTGTATAATATATTTAATAGTAAAATTATATTGACTAATTCTTTACAAATATAGCAGGAGACCAAATCATTTCAACGGGTGGTCAATGAGTTTCAAGAAGAATTGCAACAATTGAAACTGAAATTAAACAATATAAACAAGAAAAATGTGATATTTATATTGATACTGGAAAGATACCAGATGTAATTTTTTATTTTTATCAAATATTATATTTAAATTTGTAATGTGTTTTAAATTTTTTTAATCTACCGAAATAGGATTCCTAAATAATTGGATTAAATTTCGAGACATCCAACATCACCTCACGTTTCAAAATTAAATCAATGTATGTTGACATATTATTTCTGTAAAGCATCAGAGGAAGATTTATTTCTCGGTGTGAACTATTTTTTTGGTTCGCTTTGAACCTTATTTTAACCCAAAAAGACGTGCTGCTTACCAAGTTTGGCTAAAATTCCACCAATTTCATAAGCGTCCCATCGTCTCCAACTGTTGCTAGCTCATCATCATTCTTAGGAACAGAAATAGTAATTTGGTTAATATGTAAGATGCAAATGGAAGATGAATTTATACGGAGAATAATGATTGTTTATAATAAAGGCGGGAAGATTTATGCCCGAGAAATATTTTTCGAATTGATTTGTTTAACTATTTTTAATCGGATCAAATTGATAATTAGCTAGCGAATGACTGATTAATTATATATTAATTCACAAATATAGTTCTATATAAACGGTAATTCTATGTAATTATTCATTTTCTTAATATTATGTAATTTTATCAACTATGTTATTACCTATCACGATTTTCTGTTTTTTTTTTTTTTTTTTACCTCTATATATTTATTTTTTTAACTATTAGTATTTTCTAGCAATAATTTGTCATATATTAATTTTTATTTTTATAAATTCTTACTAAAATAGTTAAAAATAGTAATTTAAAATGTAACCGGAATTATTAGGTATTTTATAATTAATCTGATATTTTAATAAAAATATAAAATAAAATACTCTAAATTTTGAACATTGATTTATTTAAATCTAATCTTGATTTAACCTAATTCAAGCCTATTAGAAGTTTATTTATTATAAATAAATAATTTAACATAAATATATCAAAATTTAAAATCATATAAAAATAGTTTAAATAAATATCCTTATATTCAAATTTTATATATTATATTATTAAAATTTACTT